TTAACCCAGTCATCATCTACCAAAGCAAATTCTACCTTTGTCCTACCTTCCTCTGGGGCTTCAGGGGTAGGGGGCTTTTCAGGACAGCCTCCGGCAGTATAGACAGAGACAAAGAAGGCATTCAGTAACTCTGCCTTTTCTTTATCTTCTGTCACCAGAGCACCCACCTCATTCATCAGTGGGCCTACATTGCCTCTGGTGTTAGCCTTATCTGCAATGTATTTGAAGAAGCCCTTTCTATTATCCTTGACCCCTCTAGCAAGGTTTAATTCTAAGGAGGCCTTAGCTTTCCTAGTTGCCTCCCTACACTCTTTGAGAAATAGATAGGATAGAAGCTTTGTTACTCAGGAAAGGTGTCTGAATGTAGATGTAGACTGAACTACCTTTCAAATGTTACTTTGTTAATTCCTAACCTTCAGGGGACAAACATACGTTTCTCTCCTACCCAATTTCTTGTGTGGGTGCGTACTGCAGTACCACCTGCTGGAAAAGAGCCTGGTGTCGCAGCCAGACTGCATACATCTGTGTACGTGGAACTGCTTCTTGCTGGCCATTTCTACCACTGCTGTCTCTGGACACAGAAGACCAAGAGGTCTTTGCTACACATTTATGCCATCTTTCACAACCTTATGGGTGGAACTACTGCTTCCGTTCTGTGATGTGGCTTTGAAGTAATCTTGATGTAAAGGATTGCTACACAGATGCAAAGAACTGAATAGCTCACCACCAGTCAGCTTTGCGCTGGTATAAGAGGACACTTTGAGGACTGTTAGGGAGACGATGTGAATCCCAGAGGACTCTTGTCTTCACCTGCATTTTGTTTCCCTTTTTTCTTAATAGCTGGTCCTTCTTATTTTTCGAGCCTAGAAGGCAGCTGCTCTCTCTTTGCCAGCTTGCAGATAAATAGTCCCCTATTTGCTTCCAGACATGGTGGTCTTGTCTACGGATGCAGAGTTGCATGAGTTGGTATGACTTCAGTGCTCATCTGACTGTTGGCAGCTTAGGAAGTTCAACTGGTTCATCCGGGAAACTAGTCTATCTAAGATAAAAAAATCCTTTTTCTTCCAGTTCTGCAAACTGAAGCAGTCCACCAAGAGACTGGGTTCCTGTTTTAGCAAGTGAGACCATGATTATGAGATCATGCTGCCAGTCTGAACCATCACTGTAAAATCTGACATTGCAGTGGGCTGGTAGTTTAGGGTTTGAAACTGATAGTTTAGGCTTTTTTCCTGCTGTGTGTTCCCTGCCTCTACCCTAGATCTACAGATTTGTGCAGCTACAGGGTGAGTTGGTTATTGAGCTGTTTTGGGAAGTGAGAGGAAGCAGGAACTGATCAATGGAAAACTGAGCTGCATGATGACTAGATCTGCACCAGGGAAGAGAAGAAAAGTATGGATGATGCTTTCCACGGCAGCCTGGAGATGCATCAGATCAAGAACAACGTGAGACAGCACCTTATGCCTTATTACTCATGCTTGCCCAGACATTGTGATGCTGAAAAATGCTTTTCTGATGCATCTTGTGCTCCTGTGAATATGTAGCATATTTCTTTTTGAATTCTCTTTCTTTACATGGCCCTTTTATTTCATAGTGTCATCTTCATCTTCTGCTAGACTCTATTGTACAGTTTGAGGAGCATTGCCCAGTCAGCTTCAAACAGTGTTCAGGTCCCCTCTCTCCTTTAGCCAGTCATCTGAAGCTGTACCCTCCTCCATGTTGAAGAACTTTTTTTTTCTTCCTGTCCCTTGAGCAAGAAAGATGGGGCTCTTGGCTCCTAGAACTGTTTCCTGGAGCAAGTGGATCATTGCACAGATACTTGTTGTGTTTTCTGGAGGACAGTTGGGAACAACTCCAAATGGCTCAGGAAAGGCCCTACTGCTTTGGGAGAATTCTTCCAAAGACTGTGGGAGAAGTTCCAACATGACATGTTTTTCCCCAAAGTTGACAGCAGAGGGCTGGCTGGGAATGGGCTCTCCAAGAACTAGAGTGCTGGGAGGAGGTACAGAAGCAACTAGCTTCACCGTGGCTTCCCAGGGGAGGGTAACTTCTTGAAAACATCTGCTTGCCGGAGGGTTGTGCCTGTTAGCACAGGCCTGGAACATAAACTTGTATGCGTGTCTGGATGTTTGTCCAGAGGTGTCTCTGCACAGTGTTCCCCACAGTGGTTCCCTGCAGCTTCAGGTTCCAAGAACATACTGCGAAGGAATTGGTGCCTGCCCAGTCATGGAGGAGCTTTCCGGGCTGGGCCCTGTGTTGCCATATGAGTGCACCCTGCTGGAGAAGTGCACATCACTGGCTGGGAGCTGCTGCGATGGAGTGACTTCTCTGTAGTGCAGTAAGATTTACAACACACCCATGCTAAATATTTACTTAATGTGAGGCTGCAGAACGGGAAAAGAGCATGCGGATGTATTCACTGACAAACATAGGGTCTGAAGAAGTGTGGAGAGCTAAGAAAAACTGCATTAGCTTTAAAGAATGTGCTGTGTTTCAGCTATGATTAAGATTGGTGAATGCAAAATTGTTACGCGTGCATCACAGTTATTTGTTTGTAATTGAAGCATATTCTACTAGTTTTAACTAGATACTTTTTAGATATTTTTAAGTTAACACTTCAGTTTCTAGGAATCACTGACTTTTTCAATCAAAAATTGTGTTAGAATAACGTATTTGTTTTGGATTTTGCAGATTGCCTTCATGACCTTGACTCTGTTTCCTATCCGACTCTTTTTTGCTGCTTTTATGATGTTGCTGGCCTGGCCTTTTGCATTCATTGCTTCAATGGGATCTGAGGAGCAAGAACTTGAAAAGCCCCTCTCCTGGTGGCGAAAGTGAGTCACTGATGTTGGTGAAATACTGAGAGAATCATTATTTAGTTCAGCAGTTTGAAATAGAGAAGATTGGAAATACCTGGTATCTGTCCCACAGACCTGCTTTTCTCTTCAAAAGAAAAAATAGAAAGCTATTATTTAAACAATTTCCTCAAATGGGAAACTAAAAATACCTCACCTATTTGATTTACCAGGTGACTCAAGAATTACAGGGAGAAAAACGAGTCATCTCTGGCCTCTTATCTTTATCGAGGATGTGGTGTGGAGCTTTATTGTGACAGCCTTCAATTTCAATTGTTCTCGTAATGTCAGCTTCGTGTTATGAAGATAGACACTATGGAATGTGTCCAGATTTCATATTTAAAATTGTTGTTTTAAACGGCTTCACCCCATTGTTTGCTACCCTGTGATGAATTGACAAAGCTTCTGTTGATTCTCTGAGGGTTTGTCCCATGCTTTGGTGCTTATTAATAAGTCTGTGCTTGCTTTGATAATGGAATGCTAATTAAGGTAGAGCGTAAGATAATGTTCACCCATCCGTGAAAACTGCTGCTTGCGGAGCAAGGAAGGAGGAGTGTATCACCTCTTCTCTACAGAACTTTAAAATCAGGAGCTGGCACTAGCATGAGGGAGGCTGTTTTTTATTTTGCATCACAGGAGGGAAGAAGGTTGAGAACCACAGAGGCATGTCACTTTACATTTCATTTGGAATGATATCAGTATAATGACTAAAGGAATAATGGACTGCCTTCAGTCTTGCATACAGTTATTTTGAAGCTTTTTAGATTGTACCTCCCCAATTTCATCCAGTTTTCAGTGTCACCGTGCTCTCCAGCCTCTAATCCCTGCGAGTATAACAATTTGTGGTGTTTGGTTTTTGTACTCTGTTGGTTCAAAGTAAATGTTTCTTTTTTCATGACTGTCAGTTTGAAAAACAAGCAAACAAAACCACACACAAAACACTTTAGGAGGAGGTGGGGGAAAAGGGAAAAAAGTAAAATATTTCCAAAGCTGCCAGGTGTGTTCTGTAGGAATCCCCAGTTTTGAGAATCTCTGCCCTCCGCTGTTTTGTTTGGGTAAACTCAAGCCCAAGAATCAGAGTTGTTCAGGATTCAGTTTATTAGAGCTTTTTTGGTGCTACTAGGAATTAGACATTGTATGGAAGAAACTCAATAGTCATAGTCTGAATCAAAATTAATTAAGTGATAAAATAAATGCCCATCTTATTGTGATTAAAAAGCATTAATATTCAGGTGTGAAATTAAATTGAATGGCATCTTACCTTGAAATTGGTCTTAAATCTGCTGAGAAAAAGAAAACAAAAGGGCTACGCGGTGTTCCTGCTCTGTTTAAGCAGCATATCCTATCTGTGCTTTTGTCATGCTTAAAGTTTTTATGTGACATTTTTCTATTTGTTATTTTAAGGTATTCCTGTGGCAGCATAACTGTTTTTTCAACTCTTTGCAGGATAGTGGATATTTTGCTGAAAGCAATCATGAGAATGATGTGGCTTGCTGGTGGATTCCACTGGATAAATGTAAAAGGCAGACGGGCATTGCCAGCAGAAGCAGCAATATTGACTGTGGCTCCCCATTCTTCCTACTTTGATGCCATTCCAGTAACTATGACCTTCGCCTCCATTGTGATGAAAGCAGAAAGCAAAGATATTCCTGTTTGGGGAAGTAAGTTTGCAGATACTTAATTTTTCAAGAACAATTTAAAGTTATTATTTAGAAGTCCACTGGTTGTGTATGAGAAGGCCTGAAACACAAAATTTTGCTATAATATATAATGAGACTTTTTTTACTGGTCCACTTTGAGTGTCAATAGAAAAAATTGTGGGGATGTGGGTTTTTTTCCATTTCTCCAAAGCTGAATCATTGTACAAAGTCAAAACAATCCTACAAAACTCATGGTTAAATCAGCAGTGAAACTGCTGTAGAAGCAAAGGGGCTGTAGAAGCAAAGGGTGAGGCTATAGATCTTTCTTGCTGCTAATTGGGGGACCATCCCAGAAATGTGTTTTAGGAAATTTGTCTTCTCTGAATGGTACCCTGCCTTGAGGGAGTGCTGCTAATCCTTCATGCATTGATAAATTTGTTTCACCCACGGTATGAGAGGTGAGCAAGAGCAGATTGTTGCGTGCTCAGATTTAGTCATAAGAAATGCAAATGCCCAAGTCAGTAGTGTTTGAATGCTATCTTTGGAATTATCCATGTAGATTCTCACAAAGTCTTGAGAGACACCTGTGATTTTTTTTGGTACAGTTGTGCCAAAAAAAATGTGTAAGCTTTTAGGCTTGTGTAGACTTCTGACCAAAGTCTTTGTGGAAGCATTTTGGCAAAACCCGCCATATTGTGTCTAGGGACCAGCAAAGTTCAAAGTATCTTCCTGTGTCTCATTGTATAGATTTTAAGGATAGTATGAAAAGGACAAAAGATTTTGCTTTAGCCTTGGGTAGGGACTCTAATTTAGAAGTCTAAACAAAAGCTTTGAGTTCCTTTGCAACTAAGTGGAATCAGGCTATTGGTGTTGACATCCTCCTAAAATTCCATTATAGGTGTATCCAGGCCAACTTGGGCTTTAGGAGCAGAACAGCCATAGAAGCAGGGTCAGATTTATCTTCTTTCTCAGCTGACTTAATTGACTGTTTAATAATTGCTAGCTCAGCAAAATAAAGTCCACGTGGAGCTCTCCTTGACTTGCAGCTGGACTGTTTGGAGGACCCAAACTAGATGACGTAGTTCCAGGCCATGTTGTATTACTGAAATGTGATGAAAAAGACAGAATGGCATTTGACAGAATGCTATAATAGCTGCTTAACTATCCCACATAATAGATTCGGTGGGGTCTAGTGGGAAGGCCTGAGGAGAATCTGTAGGGATATGGAGGTTGTAGTTACACTGACTGTAGCAGAAATAATGCATATCGAGTAGTTCGAACTATTTCCTATATGCCTAATTTAATTTTAAGGTAACTTCTGAAGGATTTACGTGAAAGTCTAGACATACTGTAGTAAATTTTTAAAATTATTCACTTGATTTTGTTCACGTGTGAGCAAAACTAGTTACAGAAAAACAGAAAACCCAGAAAACTACATATAGTGATCTGATGGACTGTTACTGGAATCTACAGTGCAGTCAAGTAAATGAGTGTTTTGTCCCATATAGCTGCATTCACGTTATGTAGCCACAAAAATGATGTAGTCCCTTATGAAGTGTTCAGAAAAATGCCACGGAAATGAGGCATGGCAAAGGTCGTAACTGGGATCCAGAGTTTAAAAATCTTTTTTGTATTTAGAGTAATACTTTTATATGAGCAACATTAATTACAGCAGTTTGTGTTATTAAAGTAAATGAACCTTAACAGAGAGGTAAGTAATCATGGTAATTATTAGTTTGGCTTAAAATTTAGTGAAAACTTTCCAGTGGAGTGAATTTGTGATTTTTTTCTTTTTTTTTTTTTTTTTTCTTTTACGGCTTAAAAGAGGTTTTCTGTGAAGTAGATGGTACTGGCTATCCTCTCCTTTGATCTACTATTTTAATTCCTATGTTATTTACACTTCTCTACATACACACACACAAAAGTGTATTTTTTGGGTTATTGAATCACTGGTGTTCCTCTTATTCTGTCTTTGAAAAGGTGGTCATGTTTTTCTTGGATTGTGTGGTGAATTGTCAGCACTCTAGACGTTCATGTAGAATTTATCCCAGAGAGGTCAGAATTGTTTTTTATGTTGCGAAATCTTGCAAGCTTGTTGAACCATCTCCAGTGAAGTTTTGCAGATAGCCATTTATAATCCTAACTTTGCTATTCCTTACATGAGCCTTGTTAATGGTCATTCAGAATCTTCTGTGAAGTTTTGAATAAAGTACATTTACTTAACTCTGTGAGCAGAATTCAGCATGTAAAAAATGAAGCAGCAGAGGAAATTTGATGATAATTTACAAGGATTGAGGACTTTGGCTGAAGAGTAGATTTTCATCCAGAATATCCAAATGTGATATAAATAACTTGGCTTTTTGATGTAATGACCATGTTTATCAGGACATTGTACGTTGTGTACCGGAGGGATCGGGTGCTTTAGGAGGCACAAAAAGATCTGATTGCTAACTGGTTAAAAAGTTTGGTTCCAAAAGTACTTTAATAGGTTTTTGGAGCAGCTGCCTGTATTATTGTACCCTTAGTTTTCCAGTCATGGAATATTAAGCTTTTGATCAACTTTTAAGTCCAGATGATTAAAAGCCTGTTCTTTATGGGATTGGGATTACTCCACAAGTGTGGTTGTATGTGAGCGTTTTATTGTTTTCTAACCTGAAGGCAGCCCTCCTGGACCACAAAGTCTGATTTCAGAAGCAGACTGAACTCTTGTGATTCAGACAACTTCCTTCTTTTTAGGAAAGCAAAGTAAAAAAGAAAAAAAAATATTAAAAAATGTTCTGTTACTCTGACGGAAGAGTTATGACCTCTTCAGTTAGCGGTCAGTAGTGAAGAAAATTACCCACTTGGCACACACCCTAGGTTAACAAACTCTGGGGAGGAACAGCTTGCCCAAATATAAGCAAGATGTCATCAATCATAAAAAAACTCAGTATCTTTTTAAGTAGAGAATGCCAGAACAGACAGGGTACATCACCTCAATGCTGAAGAGGGACATGCATTTCTGCACAGTGGCTTTCTGGAGTTTTGGTAGGTTGGAGATGGGAAGTTCACTGGATCACTTTAGTGTAAAGTGTGCAGCCCAGGGAAGATGACATCCATAAATCTGTTGCACCTGACATTGGCTGAAGAAGTTAGATCACTTCATCAGGGCAGGTCCTTAAACTTTCCCATTTTGTCTATTGGACCCCACTTCAAGTCAGGAAAAGCTCTTTGCATAAATTCTGGATAGTTTTACTTTGCTGCCTTATATTTGTCTGGTAAAGGAACCTAAGTAAAAGTTACTTTTTGTTGCTGAAATGGTCAGTGCTACTGCAGAAATACTTATAAGAAGGAAAAGGGATTTGTCAGTAAATGTGATTTGGCGGGGGATTTTGACAGCTTTTGTGATTCAAACATTGTCTGTGGTCTGAACTTTTGAAAACTAAGGTTATAAGTTGATTATAAGCATTTTAATCAACTTCTCAATATCTGTAACCTCAGCCTCTGAAAAAGAGAAGAAGTTGATGCCTGTGAAATGAATGGAGGGGTTATGTCAGCTTAAGTTTATAAACGGGAAGGAGGTCACTTGTACTTGGCAAAATACAGAAGAGCTGTAGAGGCAGGGAGAATCACAGTGTGCTGTAAAAACTCTAAATTCTGTTGTTGGCATTGTTTTCCACATCTAGTAAACTTTTTTGATTTTTTTGTTCACGCTCATCTTGTGAGTGCTTTATAGGCCTTTCTTGAGCATCATTACTAAAGACAAGAAATAAGTAATTCAGTGGGAAATAGTTATGCTGTGGTAGCTGGATATGTTTTCATCTTGGAACTTAGAAGATGCCAAATTACTTGCTCATCAGCTCTGTTATGCAACTTCTCCAGTCCTTCACCCCAATTGGCCCTACCCCCCCATACCTTCAAAAGCACACAAGGAAGAGAACTGTGGCAGACCCATAGTTCTTCACTGAGGATCTTGCTTTTCAATACTTCTGAGACTCATCAAAACAGTCCTTAAACCCCTTTTGGAAAAAAACTGCTGTAAAGTTAAGGCATCACAGATTGCTTCTCTTTATATGCTGTAAATCTGCAGCTTAAACAGTGTTAAGGTCACCAGCTTGAATGCTAACATGCTATTCTGTGTTGGCCTTGTAGCCTGCCTTGAGTACACAAATGAGCTCCCCAGTTATGAGGAGTATCTTGAAGTTATTGCCTAGCTTATCCATTGTATCCTCTCCTTTAAAAACTTCTGTTTCAGAATTCAGTGTTTCCTTCATGCTGTGGGCACCCAGATGGTCCTGCGATATTTCAGTCCTCACTGGAGCTCTCTCTTAGGGAAACTTAAAATAGTTGTACAGTCACCTGTGTATTATAGATATGCCTTTATTGTTTGGGTTGGAATCCTGGATTCATTGGATTATTTTTTTTCCCCAACATAAATTCAGTAACAGTTACATCTCATTCAGTCTGCTGCGGGAGTGCCTAAACCACCATCACTTTTTTTAAGCATCCTAGTTAATATAATTTATGGAAGTTACAAACCAGAATATACAGGAAACCTGCAAAGCAACACAACCTCTATAATAAAGTACTTTTCACACTGGCAGCATAAAGCTAAAACATACAGCCATGCCCTCATACAGGTCTTGCAAGTGTGAGGGCACACAGCAATGTTTGTGATATGAAAAGGATCTTTGTCCCTTAAGAAGTCCTTAAGGGAAATAGATCCCATTTTGTGGTATTTGGTTTGGTCTTTCAAAATTTACTTGTGTTAAAGCTAAAGAGAACACTGATTATTTATCTCCCACTGCTGACCTCTCCTTGTCATACCAGCTGTAGGTTTCCTGCCTTCTGTTTGGAAACAGGGAGAAGACCTTTCCCATTAATGCTACCTCTATACCGGGAATACTTGATATCTGTTCTGTCAGGTGGTCCGTCTGATAAGCACTTAATCAAACTTGTAGAAGTTGTTCTCAACATGTGTTTAGGTTTAGTGTTGGGTTCAGGCTTGGGTCATAAAAGTATATATTTCTGTATATGTTTGTTGCTCTAGTAAAATATTACCACTAACTTTGCGGATCTCTTGTAGAGTGCCATGACTACAATAACACTATTTCCATAAGAAAATATAACTCCCAAGTGGAAAAGATACTAATTTTTAGTTTTGTGCGTTGATACAATTTTGTGTATTGTGTGTGAGTTTGAGGTTTTTTCCATTTTTAAGGTCTCAGGAAGCCATTTTATTCTGGAACCTTAATGGTTTTTTTCCCATAACCTTCAGAAGACTTTTGAGCCCCCTGCAGATTTGTTTTCTTCTCTTCTTTCCAGAGAAGAGTAGTTTTCATATTGGATATTACTTCACTAGAAAAGGTATGAGCTCAGAACTTTGTGAGCATGTTCATTTGAGTAAGGCAAGTCTTAAAAGTTAAGCCCAAGGATAGCTCTTTTCAACCTTTAACCTTCATGTTTTTGTAAGCCCTAAATACAGAATGCACAAGAGAGCAACTGCTATTAGAAAAATAATCTGTATTTTTTCCCGTATTAAGCATGTTGCACAGTTCTGCTGGTTTCCTTTAGCTGCTCAATATGCCAGCTGTCTGAAGCATTTTCACACATGCTGCTTTTTGCTCCTGCCCTGACTTTGCTCTAGTCCTGCCTATTCCTTGCCTCATCTACTGTCTCCAGGCTTCCCTATGTTTCCACTTGACTTCTGACCACAGTCTCATCTTGTCCACCTATTTGGTATGTTTCTCAGCTGCTCTTTACAGACCTTTGTCCCTGCTCATGACTATTTCTTGCACGGATTGACTTGGTACAGCCTTTGAATTTTCAGATTCCTGTCTGTTTACTGAATGTGAAAATATGTGGTGAGAGTAAAGGGCTGTGTAGCCTTTTGCTCTGTTTTCAAAAGTGGTTATGAAGAGAGTATACAAGGAAAGGGAAGTACGGAGCTCATCTTCCCTTGGTATGTACATCATTCTTACTGATGACCGAGTGTTTCAATTTCACTTAAATTGTTGGACTTAGCTACTAAGGGTCTGGTTATTGGTGTCTTACAGGATCTTAAGGTGCTGATTAATGCTGAAAGAAGAATTCTCTCAGCTTTTTAGTCTGATCTCTAAGAAAGTAAGACTTAATATAATCACCCTGTCTATCAGGCTAAGATTTGATGTGATGTCTTGAAACGTTTGAAAGAAAGCTGATAGTTTAAAAGATACTAACTTCGGCAAGCTGCGTGGATGTAGAGTCTGAACCATGAGAAAAGAAATGAACTTACCTTGCAGCCCATTTCGTATAAAATATAATTCAACAAGCAGGACAAATCCATAGGAAATCAAACTTTCAGTTGTCTCTGTTTTTTTTTCAGCATACCATAATAGTTTTTCTTTGCACGTGGCTGTGTTGCTGTTTGTGGTGCTGTCCATTTGTCAGATAACTTGCAGTCTGTTATTTTGGAGCTTGGTAACATTGCAGTAGCTTGCTTTTGGGAAGGTTGTAACGGTAAAGCTCCTAGGTTGACACTGCTTGCCTGTCCAGTTTTCAGATAGAGATTACATTAGTGGTTAGAGACTCAAAATTGGTAAGTTCTCTATAGTCTGATGTTTCTGTCATGCTGCCCTAAGTAAAATCTATCTGCTTGCTTAATTTCATATGTTATAAAGACCTTGCTTGCAGCATATCCTCAGATAATAGTCTAGGAGCTCTGGAATTATCTTACTCATTCCTTGGCCTGAGGTAACCTGAATTCCATCATTTAGGCCTAATGTAAAAGAAACTTCAGGGTGAAGGCTGAGGATGTTTGAGTCTTTTTTGCTTCCTTTTACTTGATAATGTTTTTGCTGCAGAATGGTAATTTGCAGCAGTAGGGGAAACTCAGGACTATCACCACTAAGAAAATGAACAGTTACGAAACCAAGTATGGTTTCTTTTGCATTTTTATTTGCTTGTTCTGGTTTGGTTTTGTTTTTTCATTTTTTTTTGTGAATGGTTTTGTTGTGGTTTGTTATGGCATGACAAAAACAGGATGACCTGTTTCTCCCCTAGCAAGCATTATTCTTTAGATATTGTCTAAGAGCAGGCATGTAGGAAAGTGCAAGAGTATAGTAGTTTGGTTTTTTTTGATACACTGTCTCCTAAGCTTCAGCAACTTGTGGGATAAAAGTGGTATTTCAGAGGCTAGCTGAATGTTTGGGAACTTGCTGCAAGGTGTGACAGATTAGTTTCACAGAGCCATAGAAAGATTTCAGTGAGTTGCTGGCTAAACTGTCAGTGGGGTAACACGAAAACCAGCAGCTTTTGCCAAGTACAGGACTGTAATTCCTTACACCATTTTTTTCTTCACACTTTAAGCACTGGCTGATCCATTAGTGCAGCACGTCTATCCTTGACAAAAGAAGATTATACAACTAGTGTCAGTAAACTCATCTCGCGGTGGTTAGAAATATGAAAACTGTATTTTTATATTTGTATGTTAGGCAAATAGAATAGCTAATGATTTAGTGACTCATGAACCTTTGAATAAGATAACGATACAAAAATTATAAAAAGGTATTTGAAGATGACCTGCTTAAATAAAAGCATGAAGTAGTGTATTTGAAGATGTTTCTCTTGTCATGCTTTTTTGACACTGCAGAAGAGTTAAATATGCTACTTATTATTTTGTAAGTGGGCCTCATTGTCCTTGTGACAAACATGCATGAAGAAGATATTGTGGATCGATTTCTGATTCTGGCTCATGTTCATTTTGTGTCTCACTGTGTATAAGAGGTTTCCAACAGAGCTGGGAAGTGAGTGCCTGAGATCTAATTCATCTAGTATGAGGAACAGGCAAACAGGTCACAGCTCAGAAAAAAAAAGTGTGCTTTTCCTTTTGATCATGCTGATTCCTCAGAAAATATCACATAATCTGTGCATGGAATATCTTTGATGGCGTACCTTCAGTGAAGCTGACCTGTCATAGAAGACGAAAGCCATAAAAACAGTGGCAGTTTGACCCACAGGATGTCTTTGGGAAGCATTTGCATAGGGGGGTTCCTGCTGCTTTGCTGGGTTGGGGGTGGCTATAGATTTTGTCATTTTTGTGGTGGGAGGAAATGGCCTATAGTCAGCCTCAGATGCTTTATTGCAGAAAACTATGCATAATACATACAATCATGTTTAAAATTATCTGTGATGCATGTGTATTGGTCTATTAAAAATCGAACAAGAACGAAGTGCCAAAATTGTGAAAATGGTTTCCTCACAGGAGTTCATTAAAATATTTCAATAAAACGGCAATAATTCAGCTGAATATTTAAGTTTGCAGTGTAATACAGTAAAAATATGTGCTGGTACTGATTTTTTTTGTCCAGAGAACTATTGAGGGGGGTGGGGGCGGGGGGAATCTTTTTCAGACAAAGGGGAAATAAAGGCTGATTTGCTTGTTTTTGTTTTCCCTCCTCTTTAGCTCTGATCAAATACATCAGACCGGTATTTGTATCTCGGTCGGACCAGGATTCTCGCAGGAAAACTGTTGAAGAGATAAAGAGACGGGCTCAGTCTGATGGTAAATGGCCACAGGTACTGTATACTGCTACTGTGTGACAGATGATACTTGGCATTTCCAGGCTTTGAATCTGCAGTTGACTTTTTTCCTTGTGGGATGCTTTAGGTGGTTTGTGTGGGGTTGGATTACTCCCCCTCTTTCTAGAAGATATAATGTAAGATTCTTATCTGTACGAAACACTAGCTTTTCATTGCAGTGTGTTTCAAGGGGAGACTGAGTAAGTACAAGGGAATAAAGCTCTAAGTGATTCTAAATGGTCAGACCACAGCAGATTTAGAATGATTCTATGATTCTAAATGGTCAGACCACAGCAGGTTTAGAAAGTCCTCTAAGAAGAAAATAATCAGGTGCTCAGAATACCTGGGGGAGTGTTCTGCATTCTTGCCCTTCTCAAGATTTTGGTATACTGTCATTGTTGGAGATGCGATACTGGCCAAGACGGCCCAAGCAATTCAAATGTTCTAATAACCAGAGTACACCTCTGTTAGACCACTTGATTAAAACATTGCTGGAATAAATGGCTCAGGATTTTTTCTGCACCTGAAATATGACTGTTTATAATGTGCCTTGGAAGAGAGTAATGGGAAGGAAGGGATGACTCCTTAAGGTCTTAATTTTCCAGAAGCATATGAATATTTTGAGAACTTGAAGCATTCTTCTTGTGAATTTTTACATGGCATTGTTACTACTACAGTGGTTACATCAGCATACTGGACTACAGAAACATTGTAAGTGGTTATAAGCAATGTGACAGAAAGGTGATACATAGCTTTCACATCGTGACTTTCATCAATAGATTTCAAAGCACTTTAAAAAGAAATATTCTTAGTTACAGATGAAGAAACTAAGTTGGAGAACTGAAGCGATTTCCAGAATATCTAGCAAGCTAGTACCAGAGTGGGCAATAAAACCAGTAATGTTAATTCTAGTCCATTGCTTTGTCCCCTTATGATATGTATTTATTTCCTTTAAATTATTTGTTCTGTTGCTCCACAAAATCTCAGCAGTTCTTGCCTTTTTGTTGTCTGAAACTTTTTTTTACAGTCTAACTTCTTCCTCTGAATTCGGTTCAGCTTGAACATTTTTTGCCGTGTTAGAATTCTGTTTAGATATTTTCAGCCTCTGTCATTCTGACATCTGTGCTCATGCCAAGTAATAAATGCAAAAATAAAATAAGTCTGTCTTTTCTTAACCTGTAAGCAGGTAGCTTGGGAGCAGGAATTTTGTTTTGGTGCAAAACAAAACTTGATATTTTTACCAGCACCAAAACCTTTTGTGAAAGTTCTCTTGTATTCAGAAGTGTTTCTGGTTGCTGTCAGTGTTCCAAGGAAATAGAATTATTATTGGAGGTCAAGAAAGAGGCAAATTCACAGATACAGAAAAATATTTTGACTGTTAAGACGCAACTTTACTTCTTTATTGAGCACTATTTTTTTGACTCTAACTGAACTGTTTTTCACTGAGGATGTTTTTTACTGTAATCAGTTAACATTAGTTTTGAAAAGATGTGTTTATAAATAAAACCACATTGAACTATTTCTTAAAAGTCAACTTTTTTTTTACTTCAAGATAATGATATTCCCAGAGGGCACTTGCACAAACCGATCCTGTCTAATTACATTCAAGCCTGGTAGGTATAATGCTCATTTCCTGTTCTCTACAGAATGTTCTTGTATCTTCATTGTCTGAAATACCACTTGCATTGTAATTTGCTTGCTATTGCAGAAGTTGAGTTAGAAGTCTTGCAGTAGGGTGGAGTTAAAATAGAAATTTTCTGATGCCACAAAAAGATTGTAGTTTCACTCTTGAGCAAAAGTTTTTGGATAATTCAGATTTTTTTCTTGGCTCCTGAGATGCATATGAGGTAGAAGTCTAATGTTTCTTATTGTTTTTTTGTGGTTGTTTCTCTTTCTTTTTTTTTTTCTTGCCCCCTCCGTTTCCTATTTTGGGTCTGTCCTGCAGTGTTTAGATACACTATAAAGCTGAAGGTTTCAGCATGTATCTATTTCAGGCTGCTTGCAGCATTTGTTGCTGTATTGTATGTGGTTGATTCCTCTCAAACTCTTCTGTTGAGATGCATTCTGGTGAAGATGGCACAAGAGTCTTGCCAGTATAGTGCTGTTAGAGAGGCTGTCAATTTTACAACTTTGTTTATTTGACATCCACATTCTAAGCTCCTTTCAGTTAGCATCACCCTTTTAGCTTATCAGATTAGTAGAAAGTGTAACACTGAACATTGTTGCAGCTGTAAACTGCAGTTACAATAGGGAGAAATGCCAGTACTGCAGTGAACCACCAATGTTTATTGTAAACTTGCCTCCATAGTGTAGGTAGGGAGATGCTGAATGAGGAGGCTACAGCGAGTGATGCAGTTGTGAATGTGTTTTTTGACTCTTCCTAGGTTTCTGCCTAGCTCATTGTGTTCTAGTCTTACTGTGTGTCTTATATTTTGTGTTGCTTACAGCTTACATATCGCTATTAGAATATCATGCTATGAGTCAGCATTGTTATTCCTTGCACTGATTCATTTGGCTGAAGGAATCTCAGTATTGTCTCCTGAACAAACATTCAAAAAGCTTCTCTTCCTCCCCTTCCAGCTCTTACCTTTTTAGATGAGTGAGTGGTGGCTAGAACTTCCACTTCCTTCACGCTTTACTCTCCCTCTCTCTCCATCTGAATCCTGGCCATGCTTTGAAAACCACCCTGAGTCCTTCATTAAAGCTCTGATTTCCTGCCCTCCCTCTGTGTCATAGACATTCCAGGCACCATATCCTTTCTGCCTTAAGTCCCACTCTATCTTCTTCTCCTTTGGTCTAGTACATGCTGCTGTCTGCCTCCTGACTGTCTCACTTTTCCTCCTGGAACCTGCTTCTGTTGTATCCATCCAGCCTCCCAGAAATTCTTTGCTTCAAAATTCCTCACGTATATCAAATTACTGTAGGTCTCTATTCAAGTAACTGCTTTCAGGATGCCTTTCTCTATTCTACTCATGTGGTCTGCATTCCTTGCTCTTACTACAGTTTTTTGGTTTTGTGTTTGTGTGAGCTAGTCATACAGGGCAAGCTACTCTAGTTCTGTTTAAATGGTGGTGGTGTCATCTACCACTCAGACTTTGTCATCTTTTGGTTCTTTGAAAAGTTCCTTAGGCTGTTTTTCGAGACTCGATAGAAGGTACCACTTGGTCAAGAACCAAATATCTGCAGGATCAGAGACAGACAACCTTAATTTAAAGGTGTTTGTACTCCATTAACAATTACTTTTTTTACACCTATGCAATTATTCTGTAAAGCAAATGTAATGAAAAGAATACAGTATACTTTAATAATTTAGTTCTTAATTTTAATCAAATATTAGTCAGAACTTTGTAAATTGCTACCAAAAAACATAGTTTGAGTGAAGACTGTCTTTATTGGTTGTTTTCATGATATAAAGATGTTTAGAGAAATCTTGAGCAAGATAGTTGTCAGGCTTACTCAATCTGTGCTAGAAACCAAGAAAATTATTGACGAGTGACATTTATAGATCTTGTGCTACTTATTTATCATTACTATAATTTTCATATGAAATAAAGTGATTCTTCTGTACAATAGCTCTAGTTCAATACTTTCTATTAGATTTTTTCATATCTGCAGAATAAACAAGCCCTTCTGAGGGGAATTAAGGTGGGAGAAAAGAAGTTAAATTCATTCTGTTACTTAAGAGATAAACAATTTCCTACAAATTGATGTTGCTCAGCTAAAAATAGAAAGCTTAGGTTCTTCACCAAAAAATACTGTTGACCACAGGGAATATATTTAATAATAGTTAAATCTTGCACATACTGTATTAAATATCTTATTTCTTTAATCATTTATCAAGCTGAATTTGGTGCTGGGTTTGGCTTGTGTACATGACAATTTATGTAAGTGACAGAGGATAATTAGGATAATGCAAGCAAGCGTTCTTAATTATTTATCCTCTGAAAAGGTGGGTATACATTGCATTCTTCAGTGCTTGTGTTTTAGATTACTTTCGAGGCTGCTTTTCTATCTCACTTTTTCACTGTCAACTAATTCCTATGCATATCAGCCCAATAATTGTATACTTTTTTTTT